GATGAAAGGAGAGAACCTGAATAAATTGAAATTCACAGGATTGAGGAACACCGAACTGTTAGGAAACAAGAGATCTTGGTGTTTTTAAGGGCTCAACAATTCTTTTCAGGTTGAGCTGCAGAGCACCAAGCGAGAAGCAGAACCAGACTTTCTGGCTTGGAGCCCTTTCTCTGCAGAGGCTGGCGCAGGGCAAGGCACTTTATCTATTTGAATGAATTTCTGGCTTTGAAAAATGGAAAAAATAATACCTTTCCCATAGGAATTGTTGTACAGCTAAAAATAGATAAATGATCCCTGGTATATAATACTTGACACATAATAGGTACTCAATTAAAGGTAGCTATAGTTCTTGAAATTTAAAGCTACATTTTTTTTAATCTCTAGGTCTATCAACATTTGGCTGGTTTTAAAGATGTGATTCCTTCACCTCAGAAAGAAAACATATTGTTCTTTCACAAGAGAAATGCATGAACCACAGAATTGTGTGTCTCACAATGTGCCCCTGTACATCTTGTCAGCTCCAGGACCTTTTTTGAGGTGAAGCTGCTCTTAAGTGAAAATGAGGGATGGGGAAGATGAATAGCCTAGAATATTATTTTCTCCTTGGAGAAAGTAAAGAGGGAGAAGAGTTTGCATACTGCCTCTGAGAATTTTTGTATCTTGGCTGATCTTCATGGAAATAAGCCCAAACTGGGTTATAAATATGGTAAAACCCTGCCTCGCTGAAGTGGGACAACACATATAATCATGAGAATACTTCAGCCTCCCCAGAGTGTGGGCACTTGCATTTTCCTTTCCTAAATCTATTTCTTACTCATTCGATTTTCTCCTATGGGAAATATTATTATTATTATTGTCTCTGTCTGATTAATAGTTCGCATGTCACATTTGTTTACCTGATTTATCACTGACAGGTTAGATTCAGATCCCTGGCTGCCCTGAGAAAAAATAAGATGAAAAATGTAACTACTAAGCCTGCATCATGTTATTTTCTGTCAGGGATGCTGATGTGAATTCTGACCAAAGTTTTCGTTAGAGATTCTACTCTACGCAAACTCAAAGTGCCTGGACATAGGGGTGTGTCCATGATCCTGCAAATCAGAGCGGGCCACACTGGTTGGATTTGAGAAACATCCCCAAAGAACCTCCACTGTACTTTTCTCTCACAGTTTAGTAGAAAGGCAAATGAAGGCAAACTCAAGATGCCTACGGAAGATGTACCTGTTGTTGCACTGAGCACTCTCTTTTAAGAGTCACTGAAAGAATTAGTTACCTAAGAAATCCAATCATTGCTTGAATGTTTCTCTCGTGCATGACTCACATGCAAGCATACAGTTTCAGTCTCATTAGTCTAGAGGAATTTCCATGTACAAAGATTTGGTGGCAAGTTACATTATTTATTTGCATAAAACAGCAAAAAGGTAAGAAAAAAGAGGAATGCCTAATAGGTGATTAATACGTTATGTAATATCATACAATTCAATTTTACACAATACCTACAGTTATGTTAATTAATATTTATTGATATGGGAAATATATATAATCTATTTTAAAAGTCAAATCAGTAAAGATTTTGCTATGTTGGATTGCATTTTTGTTAATGTGTCTTTGTGTGTGAACATACATAAACTAATTGCTAATCATGCATGTACCAAGTGTTTAAAGTGGCACTGTTTGGTCATATAATTACAGTATTTTATTCTTTTGTCCACAACAAACTTTTCATGCATTACCTTTGTAATAGTAAAACATATCTAATTTTTAATTATTTCTCTTCATCACTTACGGCAAATTAGAGCTTAACTAAAGAGAATAGAAAAATATAGTATACAGTATGTTGGCTTTCACTTGAGCTTGCCAAATAATCTTCCAAGGAGGACCCATGTATTCTAGTGATCATCTGATCCTCCTTTGCTACTCTAACTTTCATTCTTTACTTTCTGTACCTAGCTTTTTAATCATTGCCACTAAAGATCACTGCCTTCTCCTCAAATAACCAATAACAACATGAATCTCACACTAAGCCAATTATTCTGTACCAGTAAGAAATACATAAGAGAAACATTCGAACAATGATTAGGATTTCTTAGGTGACTCATTCTTTCAGTAACTCTTAAAAGACAATGCTCAGTGGAAGAACATGTACATCTTCCCTAGACACCTTGAATTTTCCCTCATTTCCCTTTCTAATAAATTGCAAGAAAAAAATATCTTTGGTGATGTTTCTCAAATTCAACCAGTGTGGCACATTCTGACTTGCAGAATCTTGAACATGCCCGTATGTGTATACATGACACTTTGAGTTTGTACAGAGTAGAATCAAACAGACAAATTCTCTAGTTAATGACAGACATTTAAAATAATTTTCCT